TGCTACTAGTAGCTAGAAGCTACTAGTAACAGGCCCATTGCTACTAGCAACAAGATCTTTGTATCCAAATCTGAAGTCCCTTTGGGTTGGGGCATGGTGCCGATAGCGTGCCGGCGTGCCCGACCTTCTGGCTTTTGGGGTCCATTTTGCACCTTGTTTCTGTCCCTGTCCTTGCCGGTTCGTTGTTGCCGAGCTGCAGGTTACATGTTTGCTGCCTCGGTGTGAAAGCTGGAACGCACATGAACAATTCAATTCTTCGTAGGACCTTGCCTTTGCACAAACATCACAAATTGGACAAGTAGTGCAGCGCCCAATACTGTCGCAGCTGTGCTCGCCCTCAACATTGCTGGATGACCAGCTTGGTTTTGGACCCTTGCGATTCCGTTCCTATCTGCTCCCTTTATGACCAGCCAAGCACCAAGCTTATGCGTCGATGCGCAAGACTATCTATGAATGCCAGAGGAGTATCCGCGGAATCTGAAGTATGACATCTTGCCCAAAGGTGTTTTTGTTAGTGTTTTTCCAGTTGTAATGCCTATTTCAATGATTCCTCCAAGATCTTGAAACTTCATGAGACTTCATGAGGCTTCACGGTGTCTGATGCTATGGGGCAGCTGCCAAATATCCAGATGTTGGGCAATGTGGTGAATCAGCAGCGCCTTGGCCGCAAAACCGTCACTTATGAGTGCTGCGATTTTGGAGGAACACGAATATGTGACATGTGAATGCGTTCAACAAGGCGTTAACTTGTGAACTTCTTGAACACTTCTTGAAAATACTTCCAAGTCTTGTCGAAGCATTACGAGCATAGCTAAAGGAAAGCCCAAAGGTCCCAAAGATGTGGGGTGTCAATTTGGGCCCTGTCAAATTCGAGGCTGGTGGAGTTTGAGGCCCAGAAGGAGCGAAGTCGGAGCACCAATACCACTCGTCAGCCTTCATGAGCTTGTTTGTGCCTGCGGCCCGAGAACCGTAAGCGTTTTTTGTTTCTCGAGATCCTTCTCCTCCCCCTCCTCATCATCATCATCATCTTCTTCTTCTTCTTTCTTTCACGACGCCCTCGGCTCAGGGAGGTAGCGTTGGCCCTCTTGAACATATGTCAGGTCGATGCTTCGCGCCGCGGTTTCCTTGGCCTGGTCAATCTACACGCTCTTCAAGAATCGGTGGAGCAAGGTCCATCCCACTATAGAAAGGCTGACAGGCGCAGAGGCGCCCAGGTCGAGCCTGAGTCATGAATTGGAACATCAGTTCCTCACACAGCGCTCCGCGCTTTCCCAAAGATCGCGGTGCTGGTGCTGCAAGTGCTGCTTGAGGTCCGGCGGCCGCATGTCACACAGCGCGAAGGAGTGCACCAAATGGGGATAAACATCAGGCCAGTCCAGCAGCAAACGAAAGTCGAGCCGATTCTTGGCCGGAAGCCCAGCATCAAAACAGGCACTGTCCTGACTGAACGTGTGTTTCACGTTCACCAACACTTGCTCCCTAGTCAAGGTTGCCAAGGAACCAGTTTCAGCTGAAGGAGGCGCTACATCGCATAGTTGAGCGCCGCCGTGGGCATCCAGTTGGACCCTTAATGCAGCTGTTCCTGAGCACGGATTCCGGAAGCTGAGGCGCATAGACAGGAGATGACAGGAGGCTTCGCATCACCCAACAAAACCAGTGAGGGTCATGCCAAACTGCTGGTTGGTAGTGTTCAGAGTGAGGGTCAAGACCTACATCGTAAGAAACCCTAGCCACTGTGAAGGAGATGTTGTGAAGTGAGGGACAAAAATGGATGAGGCCCAGGTCAATTTCTGAAAGCTCTTGTGATGGAGGTGAGGGATCTTAAATTTTTGTCCCTGACTTCAAAAACAAGCCACCATAATTGCAGAGCCCTCAGCAAATTGAGTGATAGATTTCCACAAGGGCCCACGCTCTTCTAGATTTGTAGATGGCGAGGGAGAGCACACGTGTCAAACGGTGAGGCTTCAGGTAGGAGCTGAGCAATGCGCCCCTTCCATGTGATCCTTCAACGCGTCAGTGTGCGCAGCGGTTGCAGCCTGGTATTTGGCCGTCGGCAACAGCCAATATGACCGTCCCATAGTGACATAGTGGCGTGGCCGCATAGCAGAGTAAAAACTTGGTACATGAGCAGGTTTTGAGATATGATGAAAATTCTGCCAGCTGATGAAGAGGAAGGGTTCTCCACAGTGGCGGCAGATTGGTTCGCCATCCACAGTGTCGCGAGCTTCAAGAAGTTGAGGTCCAAGAGGATGAAAAAGTATGCGTGTAGAGCTCATGTCTTCGAAGTGTCAAAAGATGGTTACAAGTGAGTCCACATCTGGTACAGTCAAGGCGAGCCTCTGCCAGAAGAGTTGCAGCGAGTCTTGACGTTCGCAGACCAAGGGCACGAGCAATATGAAGGCCAAGAAGAAAATGCAGTCTCCCGACTTGGAGAAATGGATGCGCCCACTGGCGCGCGTCTAAAATGTCTGTGTGCGTTGTATGTGGCAACTGTCGAAGTTGGGCCATGACTTGTTGATGCAAAGAGGAATTCGGAACACTTGACAAGTGTTGTCAACCCGACAGCATCAAGACCATAAAGCGCAATGGGAAACGTGTTTGCCAAAGTTGTTTCTGTGTGTTCGGCGTGAAGAGGGTTCAGCTTGAACCAAGCGTGCAAGCCTTCAGCCCTCTACATGGTGACGCGCTGAGGGTTTGTATTGCGTCTGAACTCCAAGGTAGTCCTGTCAGGCGCGGATGGGAACCGTGGCCCGGAATCAATTGTGTAACTCAAAGCGTTCTTTCTTGCCCATTCCTCTTGACTCCCTCAAGGCAGCCGACTTTTGCATGTTGACAGACATGCCCTGACGATGCCACAATGGGTTTGCTTTTGCCTCTTCCATTGAATGATTTAGGCAGGCCCACGTTGAAACTGCCATACAGTGATGGCTCGCGCCCACGGTCAGTTGTCTCACAAGCCGTCCGTGTGTGGGCGGTCGCCCTGTTAAAGACCAGTGTGTAGTCTGCCTTGATGTACAAAGAGCAATATCAAGGTTTTTGACAAAGGAGTTTGAGGCGCAATCAGACGTAGCGCCTTTGGTTGCGTGGAGGGGTTGTTTGGTTTGCGAAGTAAAACACAGCCGGATATTGCCCTTGCCCAACCAGTGTCTGGTCCATAACTAGGAGGCCAAGTGCCTCAGCCGAGGCCTTCCAGACACAGTTGGGCACTCCAATGCAGCAGGAACGCCAGAGTTGCAAGCTCCTCCTGAGCACGCCCTTATCAACGTCATCATCATCATCATCATCATCAACATCATCACCGTCATTGCCATCGTCATCGTTTTCATCATGTTCGCCGTCATCGTCGTCAGTAGCATCTTCATCGGATTTGTGGCATTGTTAGCGGCTTCACAACCTTGTGATTGTTGTCACGACATTGTCATGGAGCGAGAGTATATATATATATAGATTTGGGGTGGGTTGCCCGTGGCCACGGAGTGACAGTGTCGGTGTACGCGCCGCCTTCATTGTAGGCTGTTTCCCCATACTGAAAACGTCATGACCTGGGTAAGAAAAGGTGCGTGACTTCAGTTTTAGGGGCGGCGGTTTGTTTGTGTTGCTTGCAGTTGTCAGAAATTGGCGTGTGATTTCCAGCTGCAAACTTGTTGATGCGCTAAGTGACAGGACCTCACACTGGACTGGTCTATCATTACCTGGCTGAAATCTATTTGCAACCTGCCAGTCATTGCCAAGGACAGGAAAACTCCTAGATGTTCCAAAGTGTGTCACTGTTATTTGCTACACAATATCCTGACAAGGGAATCCTCCATCCTGCGGATGCTCGGTGTGCCATCAAAGCTGGGGCAGCAGCCATTGCCCGGATCTTCATTACCGAAGGGCCAATCAGGTTGTGAGTGTTCAGTCCTTTGACCAAGGTGATCTCGAACCACGGAGGCAGGTGACTTGAGGATTTGCAAAGATGGACGTTTCTGTCCAATACTTGTTGGACCAAAAGGAGAAAGGCCCTCCAGCTTTCATGAACCAGCGTGGCAGGTCGCCAGCTGGATAGTACACCTGCCACCATTGATGTGTTGCCTGCCATTGCAGCAGAAGTCCGGGGAGAGGCCCAGACAGCGAAAACGAGTCCAAAACCAGAAAACGTGGGATGCATGCCGTACTCTAGGTATTGGTTTGCTCACAGGATGCAAACTCTTGGATGTGTCGACTGTTCCGCTTTGTCCGCGTATGTCCCAAGACGTGGTGTTCACTTGTGGTTTGAAGCTGTATTTTTGTTTGACATTCTACGAACGGGGCTCCTGGCATCGCTATTAGGAACATTCTTGCTACTAGTAACCAGAAGCTACTAGGGGCTCCTAGCTTCTTGAGATCCCCATTTTCCTGGACGGTGGCATTCGACGTGGCACGGACGTGTTCAAAGCCCTGGGGCCCGGGGGCCCAGCGGAGACGGCCCAAACCGAAGCGACCGAAGCCACTTTCGGGAGTTGCGGAGGTTTTTGAAGCAAACATACACAAATGACATATCTAATCCAACTTGTGGCCTCTAACGTAGAAGAAATGGCCTCCAACCTAATAGCAATGGGCCTCTAACCTAGAGGCAATGGTCTCCGAACCTGCAATCCAACTCATCTAGATTTTGTCCGCACTTTTTTGAGATTGAGGTTTGGAGCGAACGCAGTGATGATGGCACGCCAGGAGCCGAGACAGGTGATCCCTCCCCGTGAGCTATCAGCTTGTGCTCACTTCGATGACTCAACTGGGAAAGGAAGGCGAACGAAAAAGAAAGTACCAATTTGCAGGGCAGAAAGGGGAGCTGCGCACATGGCATGTCCTGCAACTTTCTGAGACGATACTATTGACTACTCTTGAAATCCTTTTGCAAGCACTATCCTGAGACCTTGCATGTCTGCCAAATGAAGTCGGACCAGTACTCACCGCGCCAACCATCAACCTACTCAACTCCGGGTTTCGACCGGTGTCTCTGCACGATTTTCACCCATTCGGAGGCGAAGGTCTGTCGTAGCGAAGGTCTGTCTGTCCACACGTCGCAGAATTGGGCGCGAATCCAACTTGGAAGTCGCAGCTTTTTGAGAAGCTGTAACTGTAACTGTCCGTTCTTACCTGTAACTGTTGGCAAACAATGATCACTGTCACTATTTTAGAGAAAGGCCTTTACTGACCATCATCATCATCATCATCATCATCCACTGTTACTCGAGATAATAGGATACACCAGATGCAAGCCAAACATACTATGAATGATGCGTTGCCATTGTCACGAAAGCTAGCGTAGCTAGCTGGAGTTGCTCTTGCAAGCAAGTCTTTATGTGGGTGGCCTCGGGACGAATCCCTAGAAAATTTTCATTACCCCCCCCACCAAAAAAGAGTGAGGGGGGTCGTTCGAACCCCACTGCAGTACAGGCAAGTGCAACCACGACAAGAAGAAGAGGAGGAAGAAGAAGGAGAAGAAGAAGGATAACAACAACAACAACAACAACAACAACAACAACAACAACAACATGAAGATGAAACAAAAGCAAACAACACTATCCACAAACACATTTGAACTGCAAGGAGAACAATACAATAAGAATGGCAACGCGAAGATATCATCGACTAGAGATATTCGATCCTTCGTATCAAGACAGGACGTGGAGACAGCAAGCACAGCAACACCAGGAAGAGGAACAGCACAAGAACGGATAGAGAAGAAAAAACGACTTGAGGAAAGACAGCAGGAATAACAGAAGAAGAAGAAGAAGAAGAAGAAGAAAATAATAAGAATTGTGAATGAATGAGCATGTTTGGCCTTTGGATGTGTTTCACTGCGGCCGACAGGCCTTGAGCATTTGGCTCCAACGGCACAAAGCAGTGTGCGCATTCCGCTTCCTTCGTTCTTTCGTAGGATCTCGGGTGCCGCTGTTTACAGTGGCAGCGGAGCCTCTCCGGTTCCGTGGGCCCTGCGCAGCTTCGCTCTTTGGGTAGCTACGCTTGGTGGTGGCGCTTTGGACCTGCTGGTCCTGCTTCTTGCGGCTTGCTGGCCGCTCCTGGCTTTGTGGACGACTACGTCTTCTCGGTGGACTTCGTGCTCTGGACGACTCCGACTCGGCGGTGGACTTCGACCGAACTTTTTCTTGGAGGTCTTCCTGACGGACTTCCTTGGTGGCGTAAAGCCTCTCCCTCGGCCAAGGGATAGAAGGTTGCCTGGTGGTGGACTACATCCTCGTGGAGCTCATGACGGACGAGAAGAAGGATGACCGGGGCTTCGATAGCTACATACCGGTCTGGGACGGCAGAAGCGAGACCCTCAGAGAGTTCAAGAAGGCCGTCCAATGGTGGTTGCACTCGATCGACCTGGAGAAGACCACTTCCTACAACTTGGCCGCAAGGTTTGCCATGCGGCAGAAGGGCAGCGCAAAGTTGAGAGCTTTGGAGTTTGATCCAAAAGAGCTCGAGTACATCCCCGCCGAGAAGGTGAAGGATGATGAGACTGATGAGATGGTTGAGTTGACACCTGCGGTCTACGACGCTGGAATACAGAAGATCCTGGCCTCCTGGGATGACATGGTTGGGAGGTCACAGACTGACCGCAAAGGAGAGCTTCGTGAGAAGTACTACCTTCAGCTTCGCCGTGGAGGTAGTGAGAGCATACCGAACTTTGCACTTCGGTACAGAACGCTGGTTGGAGAGATGAAGGCCGAAGGCATCATGGTGGACCCCAGCGAGCAGGCGTGGTTCTTCAAGCAGAAGCTCGCCCTCACAGAGTTGCAGCGGCAGATGCTGGAGACGACTTTGGGGGTGGAGACGGAGGACTACGGGGCCTGCGAGAGGGAGGCTGTTCGCCTCTTCAAGCGAGTCCATTTTGGACATGGGCATGGACCTGGACATGGAGGACCACAACATGGCGGTCATGGAAACTTCGCTAAGCGACCTACTTCCTTGACGTCTTCTACCTTGTCCCGGTTCCGGAAGAGCTTTCCCTCGACTACTTCGTCTTCAAGCTCTACATGGCGGCGTGGCGGCGGAAAAGGTTTTGGCGGCTCAGTCAATGTCACGGAGTATGAGGACGAGGACCCGCCTGAGTATGAGGCCTTTGAAGCTGAAGAACACCCTGCCGCAGGTGAAGACGATGGTGGTGGAGACTCTGAGAGTCTTGGCGGCTTTGAGGGGCTTCAACAAACCCTTGAGGCCATGGCGACAGAGCTGGATGAGTTGGCAGATGGTTCACAGGCTGATGATGACCTGGCGGCCATTGAGGAACAAGTTGAAGGAGCTGTGGAAGCATTGGAGACCCTTCGTGAAGCGAGGTCACAAATCAACGCCTTGAAGAGAGATCGTGGATTTCGTGGACCTGGAACTTCGAGCTTCAAATGTGGAAAGGGCCGTGGAAAGAAAGGCTCAACTGGTGCAAAGGACGGCAAGTGCTTTGCGTGTGGCCAGACTGGTCACTGGCAGGGAGACCCTGAATGTCCTGCTGGTGGCAAGAGCTCAGCCAAAGGGAAACAACTTCCGAAGTTTCCCAAACCCATGCACATGACAGGAGCTTCATCGTCGACTACCCCTCCAAAGTCTTCGACCTACCGCAATGAGGCCAATGCCGCGGAGGTGAACGTGGTCGACCTCCTGGAAGGTGCAAACCACAATGTGTCCTTCGACCTGGAGCCGACGGTCCATGAGATCAACGTGGTTTCAATGCTCTCGGAGGCTTTGACAGCAAGTGCAGCTGGACCTCCGGAGTTGAGCTTGGACAAGATGTACGTTGCAGCTCTTGACTCTGCATGCAACAGGAGCTGTGCTGGTGAAGAGTGGATCAAGACCATGAAGGCAGCGCTGAACCATGCGCCTCCTGAGATCAAGAACTTGATCATGGAGAAGCCGGTGAGAGACTACTTCAGATTCGGCAATGGCGGAATCTTAGAGAGTCAGAAGCGCATCAGGCTGCCGATTGTCGTGAAAAACCAAGTGGTGCTTCTTTGGCTAGCTGCCATTCCTTGCGATTCACTAGGGTGCCTGCTGGGGAAAGACTTCCTCGAGAGCTTGGGGGCTACTTTGAACTTCTCTTCAAAGAAACTCCAGTTGAAGTACCTCACTGAAGAATGGACACCCCTGAGCAAGATGAAAGCAGGTCATTTTTCTTTGAACCTTCTCCCAAAACCCTTGACCTCGTGGCCGACGCTTGGACCTCTCGCATGGCATGTCGTAGGTGTCGGAGGTTGCTGTGAGGTTCAATGTGAAGGTCGAGTCGCATGGAAGGCACACAATCGACTAGTTGATCGTTCGACTGACGTTGATGGTGACTTGAACATGGTTGTGCACTACATCCCGGAGTTCTTCAGCTCAAGCTCGTCCTGGCAGCTCGAAGATGATGCCCAATCTCTTCGAGATCTCCCCGACCGCTTCGCGATGGCAACGTCTTCTGCTGCGGATGGCTGCCAGGAGGACTTGGCATTGGAAGGGGGTGATGCTGTGGTTGGTGCAACGTCCATTCCTGCGCTTCCTGCCCGTGCCCTTGCCGGTGGTCACGAATGCGGAGGAGTGGAAGACCCAGCTCAAGGACATGGTGCGACGCAAGGTGTGGCCGAAGCGATGGTTGCCGAAGGCCCAGGAGGTGATGAGTCTTTTGCACCTTCAAGAGGCTCAGACGCTTCGCAACCGCATGGGCTTGGAGGAGGCGTTCATGGAAGACGAGGCCGTGATGTTCGGGATCAAGGCACTGAAGAAACCTCCCCGTGCTCGGAAGCAAGCTGCACTAGTTCAGGCTACGCACCAAGCAATCGCAGAGCTGGAGGGCCGGAAGGAAGAACTCGCCAGAGAGCTTCTCGGACCCCGAGGCGGGATGCCTCGCGACAAGGCAGACCTGGTCAAGCTGGCGGTTCTCCTGAACGTGACCGTGGACCCCAAGGACACCAACGACCAGTTGAAGGCCAAGTGCAAGCCATGGTGGACGTTCTGATGGGGAAAGCCCTTGGCTCGAGCCCAGAGAGATCCAAAGGATCCGCAGAAGGCAGCGACCTCAAAGGACCAATGACTGGCTCGAAAGCGATGGAAGTATCAGCGCCAACAGGACCAACTGCACAAGCCCCAACTTTGAGTCATCTCCAAGTACCTTGGGGACTCCCAATGAACCCGGATGGGCAGGTCCACTTCGACCACTTCAACCCCCAGACCCGTTCAGTTCAGGAAGGTTGGGTACTCACTCCTCAGTTCTACCAGCTGAACGAGACAGACGATCAGATGCTGTGAAGCTTTCAGTTGGCACCCTGGGGAAAGCAGCCTTCAAGGACTTGAAGAGTGGTGCACGCCTGGCAGTTCGAGATGGCGTCATGAAGGCCAGACGGATGAGAGATAAGATGGGTGCTCCAGTTAGCTATCTCAATGAGATCATGGAGGCAGAATACGTCGACTTCATCGACAAGGTGGCCAGTGGTCAGGAGGCCGAAGTGTTCATGGCGGACCTCCACATGCCGCCTCTGCCTGCCAGTCGGTTTGACTGCATCCGCTTGCCCATCTCAGGACTTCGAGAACAACTTCAACGACCAAGCCGACTTCATCGACGGTTGACTGATGAGTGGCGTTTTGGCCACATCAATGGATGGATCTGCAGAGACCACTACTGCCCCAGGAGGATCCTCTTCCACCCGTCGACGGCGACTGTGCCCAGGTTCTTTCCCAATGAGGCATTTACTGGTC